GGGAGAGAATGTAACGACCCGACCGGTCGTTTTTATCCCTAGCGCGTCGTTCCGCAGTCTGAGGCCATGAGCAGCTTCATTTCAGGTGTTATGACTTGTACGCGTGGTCGGAATTGAATTTCGGGAAGTTCGGAGTTGATTTGGGAAGATAATTCTCATTTCGGAAGCTTAAAGTTGAAAGAATTAACTAGGACGGGATTTTTGAGTAAACGACCTCCGAATCGGGATCTGAAGGTTGCAGCAGGTTCGTATGATGATTTCGGACTTGGGCGTATGCCCGGTTCGGGTTTTGGATAACCCGGGAGCGTTTTGGCGCCTATTGTGGAAGTTAGCATTTTAGAAAAAATTTCATAAGTTTGGCTTGAAGTGCATTTCAGTGTTATCGATGTCCGTTTGGGATTCCGAGTCTGTGAATAGCTCCGTATGGTGATTCTGGAGTTGGGAGCGCGATCGGAAGTGAATTCGGAGGTCCGTAGGTCATTTTGGAGTCATTTGGCTAAAGATAGAAATTTGAAGGTTTTTGAGAGGTTTGACCGGAAGTGGACTTTTTGATATCGGGGTCGGAATCCGATTCCGAAAGTTGGAGCAGGTCCGTAATGTCGAATATGACTTGTCTGCAAAATTTGAAGTCAATCAGACGTGATTTGATAGGTTTTAACATCGAAAGTAGAAGTTCGAAATTTCAAAGTTCATAAAGCTCGAATTGGGGTGTAATTCATGGTTTTAGCGTTGTTTGATATGATTTGAGGCCTCGAGCAAGTCCGTAATGTGTTTTAGGACTGGTTGGTAGGTTTGGTTGAGGTCCCGGGGGCCTCGGGCGTGTTTCGGATGCTCAACGGATCGATTTTCGCCTTGTGAGGATTGCTGGTTTTCTGGTATAAGTGCAGCAGGTTTTTACTCTATGCGATCGCGAGAGAGGGTCTGCGATCGCATAGAGCAAGAGTTGAGGGAGTTGGAATTTGGCTTACGCGATCGCAGGAGGTGCAATGCGATCGCAGAGGAGGAAGGCTGGGGCTTATTCGATCGCAGGGTTGGTGTCGCGATCGCGCAGAAGGACTTAGAAAGGCAGCAGAGTTGGCCTATGCGATCGCGGGGCTATGTTTGCGATCGCATAGAAGGGTCGCCTGGGCAGTGTTCTTTTAAAAATTGGGTTTTGGCTCATTCACTTCATTTCTTCCATGGGAGCCGATTTTGGAGCAACGTTGGAGTGTCATTTTCATCACCAAGCATGAGGTAAGTGATTTCTACTGGTTTTGAGTTAAATACAAGGTTGATATATTGATTTAGACATTGAAATTTGTAGAAAAACTTGGGGTTTGAGGGAAAACCTAGAAAAGTAGTATTCTTGGATTTTGACCACGAAATTGAGTATGGAATTTAGAGAAAATTATATATTTGAGTTCGTGAGGCTATGGGTAAACTTTATCTTCGAAAAATTTCGGATTTCGGGCGCGTGGGCCCGAGGGCAATTTTGTCAACTTTTCGAACGGAGTTAGGAATTTATCTAAATTGAATTGTTGTGAGTATTAGAGCATATATTAATGAATTTACATAATTATTGGCTAGTTTTGGAGCGTTGTGCATCAATTAGAGTCTTCGGAAGGGCGTGGAATGCCGGTTATGGATCTTCGGAGCGAGGTGAGTCTCCTTTCTAACCTTGTAAGAGGGAATTGTCCCCATAGGTGAAATAATTGGTTATGTGCTCCTAATTGCGGGGGCTACGTACGCACGAGGTGACGAGAGTCCGTGCGTAGCTACTGTTATGCTATTGTCCGGGTAGTTAGGACCCAAAATCATGCTATACTTGGATTATCTGTGAACCTATTGATAGCTTGAATTGCTTAAAATCACATCGAATTAGTAAATGAATTTTTAAACAGATAAAACTTCATTTTTCTTAAATGGTTAAAAGAGGATTTGTTTTCATTGGATAATTACTCCGTGCGGACTTCTTGATTGACTGTCTGTGTGTTTATTTTTGGAACGGGCCGAATGCCTCGGCAGATTAAATAGATGCATCTATGGTTCGTGCTGTTCAACCCTCGGCAGTGCACAGTTTATTTTCTGTTGGATCGGGCCGTACGCCTCGGCATGATTTGCGCATGCTTGTATTGCTGCCTTGAACTTATTAAAGTTGTTATTGACTCTTCATGGCTTGAGAATATTTGGATAAATAATGAAAAGGAATTTTGGAAATTTCCTATAAAAGAAATAATTGTTTACTTGTTTCCTTCTATTGGATTAAAATCATGTTATAGAAATCCACGATTTAATGTATTATTGACATCACATTATTGGACCCTTAGTAAGTGTCGAAGTCGATCTCTCGTCTCTACTTCTTCGAGATTAGACGGGATACTTACTCAGTACACGTTGTTTTTGTACTCATACTACACTTCTGTGCATTTTTGTTGCACAGGCTCATGCGATATTAGTGGCCTACTGGGCGTAGCAGCACGGATGATACTGGGACTAGGTGAGTTGCATTATTCGAGGCGGCCCGCAGCTAGTATAGTCCCTTCCAGTATATTGTATTTACTTTCTGTCCACTGTATTCCGGACGGATGTTGTATTTTATTTCCTTCTTAGTAAATGCTCACGCACTTGTGTCACCGGGTTCTGGGATGGTTTTGAAGTATTTTGTATTAATTGCTTATTATTTAATTTGAATTGAAGCGGTTATCTTTTTTTTAAATTTATAAAAATTGAAGAAAATTTTAGTTTTCAAGATTGTTAAAATGAGAACTTCATCAAGTAATTTGGTTGGCTTGCCTGATAGCAGTGTCCGGCGCCATCACGGCCCTTAGTGGATTTTGGGTCGTGACATGCGAACACTGGCAGGCAAGACTTTCTTCGCAAATGCGATCAAGCCCTCGCAACTGCCAAGCCTGTTGGGCTCGCAATTGCGAAGCCTGACCTCGCAATTGCGAGATCAGAGCCTGCAACACAGCTGAACCTGCAACAGCCATTTCTCCAAGTCCAAATTCACTCTGTGGCCTATCCAAAACTCACTCGAGCCCTCGGGGCTCCAAACAAAACATGCACGCAAGTCCAAAAAAATCTTATGGACTTGCTCATGCGATCAAATCATCAAAATAACATCAACAACTAGGAATTAAACCTCAAATTCATGAAATCACTCAAGAACATCAAAATTTCCAATTTCTCAAATAAAGGTCCGATTTATACTAAACGAACTCCGATTCTTACCAACTTCACAGATTCAACTTAATTATTATTTAAGACCTGTACCGAGGGCCCAATACCATCAATTTCAAACATCTTTTCATTTCCGAAAACTCTTATAATTTCAGTTAAACAATTTCTTTCAAAAAATTTATTTCTCGGGTTTGGGGCCTCGGAATTCGATTTCGGGCATATGCCCAAGTCCCAAATTTTACTGCAGACTCTACGAGACCGTCGGATCACGAGTCCGTTTACCAAGAATGTTGACCAAAGTCAACTCTATTCAATTTTAAAAGCCAATTTCCTAATTTTACTTAGTTTTCACATAAAAGCTTTTCCGAGGATTCCCTTTCTATATATTGATCTTGGAACTTTGCTCGGTGTTCTTTGAGATGGCCTTTTTCGTCGTTATTCGAGTACCGTCCTTTCTTGACATACACTGTCGATGATTTGACTTTGAGGTTGGTCTTGGTGCTTTTCGTTGTTTCGCCACCTGGACGGGGTACTAACTTGGTCGACTACTATGGTCATATTTTGACCTATACACACTGTCACACCTCCCTTTTTTTTTCTACACCCACAAGGGTGTAAAGGAGTTTTTCCAATTAAAGGACAATCGGAACGGGATTTATTGTTAATATTCAGAGTCGCCACTTGGGAGATTAATGGTGTCCCAAGTCACCGGTTGAATCCCGATCCGAGGAAATTATGACTCTGTTAACAGTCCGCGAACCAGAAATCCGAGTAAGGAATTCTGTTAACCCGGGAGAAGGTGTTAGGCATTCCCGGGTTCCGTGGTTCTAGCACGGTCGCTCAACTGTTGTATTTGATTTTATCTGATTTCAAAACATGTTCTAGCTTATGTGCTTTTATTAGTCAACCGCCTTTATTTTTTAATAAGAATTGCAACGTCGTGAAAATGCATCTCGAATCACGTCGCACCAGTGCACCCGTGATTGTTAACACATTTCGACTTCGTTGAGATTTGGATTTGGGTCACATAAATGTGCACCCGAATTTAGGAAAGTAATATTATTAAAATACGCGCCTAAAGCAACTACGCGTTTATTATCTTTGAGGAAAACCGTGAAATTCGCTAAACGGTTCACCCGAATTCTAAGTATTTTTATAGCATTTATTGAGGGCCCCGCAATTTGTTTGTTTTGCTTAGCGAGGCTCATCTCGTCATTTTTATTTAAAGGCCAATCCTAAATTGAATATGATAAACTTGGCCCAATAAAGAGGTTTCAACCCGCCTGGCAAGCAACCTGCGTTCAAGACTGAAAGAAAAGGAAAAGTCGTTTGGTGCTGGGCCCAAAATGGAATCAGGACCCAATCTTACTTCAAAAAGAGGCAGTCACGTGCTGAGCCTTTAACATGAACCCAGAATCAGTCTAATTAAAAATTTGAGTTCAATGGCATGCACACTTATATTTTGTTGATTGATGCCTAAAACTGCCAAGAGGTCAATCATGTAATTCAAAATTCGAAGGCAAACCTGTGGAATGCTTTAAGATAATTTCAGAATTTTACTTGACTAAGCTTGTGATTTTATTCTTTGAGAATGAACATGCCAAAATTCAGTTCAAATCCAGTATCTAAAATAGCAAACTTATACACGCCTACCAATCACAACACACATTAACAACGCAAACTCAAATGACCAAATAATGCCTTCGTATTACTGGAACTCACGTCAACCCAAAACAGTTCAAGCCAATATTTTTTATCATAGATTGAAAAATGAAAACTACCTAAGGTTCTTCTCACCTCTGAATCACTTATCAAAATGAATTTGTGAAACATTCAACTGGTAATTAACTAAATCTAGCAGGAATTTAGCAAATTTAGTTACGACTAATACTTGACTACTAAAAACTCTTACACAAACCTACACGAACACACTCAACACTTAACAGTTCATCAGCATAAACCATTACAAATTAAAGTTCAACCAGTCTAAATTACTTATCATAACAGTCCTAATTACAAGCCCAGTCATTACAAACAATTATAATGAAAATGCTGCAACAGATGAAGCTTCTAACGAAATTGTGTTTTCATTTCATTTCATTTCAGTTGAACTTCTACATGACGTCGAGATTCAGAACATGTACCTGGGATGTAGATCAAAATAAGATGAAGGAAATGTCAGCAGCAGTACACAGTGGCTCAACAGCAATATTTTTTTTCAACAGTGACTTTGAACTGAATTTTTGACCCAAAAATTGACACTCCAACCAAACAGCAACTAGTTTCAATGAAGATGAACCAGACTGGACCAAAATAGGCCTCGAACAAGCCAAAATCAACCAGGATAGCTCAAACACACCAAAATTGACTCAAATTCAAATGCAGTAAGTTTTCTGAATCTCAACCAACAAATATTGAACCAAAAGACCAAAATCAATCACTCAAACTCGAAATCAAACCGAAGTGATCAATGGAACAGTTTTTGACCTTTTTATAATTTCTGTTTTTGTATTTTTGTTTTCTATCAGGATGAACTAAAATCTGGGGTGTTTTGAATTTTTTATTCAAAATTGCAGATCTGGAAATGGTAGAGACTGTTTTGGGGGAAATTTGCGAGCTCCAAAAACTTGTTATACAAGGCAAATGAATGCCTATTTATAGGCAAACTTAGGGTCCAATTTCAGATTTCACTTTTCCTATTAGTCCCTATTGTAATTCTATTTTTTACCCCTTGTTTCTTGACTTGCTACCCAAGTAACTGCACCTATTTTGTTGAAATCTGTACTACAGCCCATCCAGAAGGGTCTAAACCCATTACAATTCCTATTCTACCCTTACTTCACTTCAACAATTACCAAATCTGATTAAACTACCCTTTTCAATGCCCAAAATCCCTTTAAACCCTCTTGGAATTACTGACCAACCCAAACCCTTTACTTAATTACTATTGACTATGGTTAACCTTATTTAATCTAAATCAGCTATAACCAAATCAACTTAACCTAAGCTTAAGGATTATTTGAAAACAAACACTGACTAAAGAACAATTACTGATTAAATTGAAATGACTAAACTAAACTAACTAAACTAACTAATAACATCAATACAGGATTACTAGTTTAAACAAATCAAAGTCAAACAGTGCCCAAATAGGCTTGATTAAAGACTATCAAGACTGTAAGAAAAACAGATTCGAAACACACAATCAAACTAATAGAACAAACTTAATCATACATGAAGCCTGAAGAAAATTCAAGCAACTCAAAACTTAAACTAAGCCCTAAACATGATCAACCCTAATTCTAAAGAACTACGTCGTTTAATCACGACCGTTCATCCCCTCTAATCCAATGGCCACGATTGATCCTTCAATCCAAATAAAAGTGTTTGAAATTATCCAAAACCCTAAAACATCCCTCACCCTCCTCGTACTCTCTGTAACGCCGGCGTACCCCACCGTCCTGCTCCCATCTCCGCCGGCCGGAAATCGTCGCCGCCGGCGCGGCAACCCCAATCGACCACAAAATTTCACCCCAGAATCTCTGTCCCTTCCTCGTTCCAAATCCGTCACTATTTTCTCAAAACCCAAACCAAACATCCCAAAGTCCCCAAACCCTAGGCGGCGCCACCTCCCAAACTTCATGAAATTCACATTCTAAACCCTCTTCACCTCCTTCTTCCAAAATCCCTAACTGGTCTCCTTCAAATGTTTCGTGAAGTTTCTCGAATCTCAAATCAGAAGGGCGGCAGAACCCTAGAATGTCGAACCACATCGAATCCTTTCCAATTCTTGAGAGTCCAGCGTTGAATTTGAGGCACGAAATCATGTTTTCGTTTGTTCTTGACAAAGAACAAAACGTTTAACATTCATTTCGAGACTCGGATTGAAGTCTGGTCTTCGTTCAATCTTACATAAGTAAGTTTTCTTATTCCTTTTGCTTTTATATTTGAATCTCTTGTTCTTAAAATTAGCCTAAAGTGTGTAGACTGTAATTTTGCATCAGTTTAGATGTCTTTTGTTTAAATCGGCCGGTGCTTTTAGTTTTTTGGTATTAAGTCAGTTTTAATTCATAATTTGTTTAGGTGATTAATTTCTGTTTTGTTGTCGACTGTTAAAATGGCCGATAGTAGTTGTTGTTTCTACTTTTCAGCGGTTAATTCAAGCCGTAATTTAGGATTGTTTGGATTTGTGATCCTTCTTTGGGTCGAGGTTTGTATTTGAGAACTTTGTTTGTTACTGAACAAATTCAGATCCTTGAAATTAGTCATAGTTAGCATTTGATCAAGCTGAAGGGTTTGGTGTGGTTGGAATTGGGTATGGGTTGGTCAGTAATTCCAAAAGGGTTTCAGGGGTAGTTTGGGTATGGAAAAGGGTAGTTTTATTAGAAAATAGTGATTTCAGAATTAATACAAGGGTAATTTAAGGATTCTAAGGGCAGGGAAAATCAGAATAGAACCCCCTAGGACTTTCTAGAAGGGGTTTAAACTGAAATTCAGAAACTTAGGTTAGTTACTTGTGCAACAAGTCAGAAAATAAAGGTTAAAAATAGAATTAAAATAGGGACTAAGGGGTAAAATAAAAATCTGAAATTGGACCCTAAGTTTGCCTTTAAATAGGCATTCATTTGCCTTGTATAGAGGTTTTTGGGAGCTCGCAAATTTCCCCCAAAACAGTCTCTACCATTTCCTGATCTGCAATTTTGAATTCAAAATTCAAAATACCCCAGATTTTAGTTCATCCTGATATAAAACAAAAATACAAAAACAGATATTATAAAAAGATCAAAAACTGTTCCATTGATCACTTCAGTTTGATTTCGAGTTTGAGTGATTGATTTTGGTCTTTTGGTTAATTTGTTGGTTGAGATTCAGAAAACTTACTGCATTTGAATTTGAGTCAATTTTGGTGTGTTTGAGCTATCCTGGTTGATTTTGGCTTGTTCGAGGGCCATTTTTGGTCCAGTCTGGTTTCATCTTCATTGAAACTAGTTGCTGGTTGGTTGGAGTGTCAATTTTTGGGACAAAAATTCAGTTCAAAGTCACTGTTAGAAAAAAAAATATTGCTGTTGAGCCACTGTGTACTGCTGCTGACATTCCTTCATCTCATTTTGATCTACATCCCAGGTACATGTTCTGAATCTCGACGTCATGTAGAAGTTCAACTGAAATGAAATGAAATGGAAACACAATTTCGTTAGAAGCTTCATCTGTTGCAGCATTTTCATTATTAATTGTTTGTAATGACTGGGCTTGTAATTAGGACTGTTATTGATAAGTAATTTAGACTGGTTTGAACTTTAATTTGTAATGGTTTATGCTGATGAACTGTTAAGTGTTGAGTGTGTTCGTGTAGGTTTGTGTAAGAGTTTTAGTAGTCAAGTATTAGTCGTAACTAAATTTGCTAAATTCCTGCTAGATTTTAGTTAATTACCAGTTGAATGTTTCACAAATTCATTTTGATAAGTGATTCAGAGGTGAGAAGAACCTTAGGTAGTTTTCATTTTTCAATCTATGATAAAAAAATATTGGCTTGAACTATTTTGGGTTGACTTGAGTTCCAGTAATACGAAGGCATTATTTGGTCATTTGAGTTTGCGTTGTTAATGTGTGTTGTGATTGGTAGGCGTGTATAAGTTTGCTATTTTAGATACTGGATTTGAACTGAATTTTGGCATGTTCATTCTCAAAGAATAAATCACAAGCTTAGTCAAGTAAAATTCTGAAATTATCTTAAAGCATTCCACAGGTTTGCCTTCGAATTTTGAATTACATGATTGACCTCTTGGCAGTTTTAGGCATCAATCAACAAAATATAAGTGTGCATGCCATTGAACTCAAATTTTTAATTAGACTGATTCTGGGTTCATGTTAAAGGCTCAGCACGTGAACTGCCTCTTTTTGAAGTAAGATTGGTCCTGATTCCATTTTTGGGCCCAGCACCAAACGACTTTTCCTTTTCTTTCAGTCTTGAACGCAGGTTGCTTGCCAGGCGGGTTGAAACCTCTTTATTGGGCCAAGTTTATCATATTCAATTTAGGATTGGCTTAAATAAAAATGACGAATGAGCCTCGCTAAGCAAAACAAAACAAATTGCGGGGCCTCAATAAATGCTATAAAAATACTTAGAATTCGGGTGAACCGTTTAGCGAATTTTCACGGTTTCCTCAAAGATAATAAACGCGTAGTTGCTTTAGGCGCGTATTTTAATAATATTACTTTCCTAAATTCGGGTGCACATTTATGGTACCCAAATCCAAATCTCAACGAAGTCGAAATGTGTTAACAATCACGGGTGCACTGGTGCGACGTGATTCGAGATGCATTTTCACGACGTTGCAATTCTTATTGAAAATAAAAATAAAGGCGGTTGAATAATAAAAGCACATAAGCTAGAACATGTTTTGAAATCAGATAAAATCCAAATACAACAAGTTGCGGACCGTGCTAGAACCACGGAACCCGGGAATGCCTAACACCTTCTCCCGGGTTAACAGAATTCCTTACTCGGATTTCTGGTTCGCGGACTGTTAACAGAGTCATAATTTTCCTCGGATCGGGATTCAACCGGTGACTTGGGACACCATTAATCTCCCAAGTGGCGACTCGAATATTAAACAATAAATCCCGTTCGCATTGTCCTTTAATTGGAAAAACTCCTTTACACCCTTGTGGGTGTAGAAAAAAAAAGGAGGTGTGACAGTGTGTATAGGTCAAAATATGACCATAGTAGTCGACCAAGTTAGTTACCCGTCCAGGTGGCGAAACAACGAAAAGCACCAAGACCAACCTCAAAGTCAAATCATCGACAGTGTATGTCAAGAAAGGACGGTACTCGAATAACGACGAAAAAGGCCATCTCAAAGAACACGCGAGCAAAGTTCCAAGATCAATATATAGAAAAGGGAATCCTCGGAAAAAGCTTTTATTGTGAAAACTAAGTAAAATTAGGAAATTGGCTTTAAAATTGAATAGAGTGACTTTGGTCAACATTCTTGGTAAACGGACTCGTGATCCGACGGTCTCGTAGAGTCTGCAGTAAAATTTGGGACTTGGGCATATGCCCGAAATCGAATTCCGAGGCCCCAACCCGAGAAATAAATTTTTTGAAAGAAATTGTTTAACTGAAATTATATAAGAGTTTTCGGAAATGAAAAGATGTTTGAAATTGATGGTGATTGGGCCCTCGGTACAGGTCTTAAATAATAATTAAGTTGAATCTGTGAAGTTGGTAGAATCGGAGTTCGTTTAGTATAAATCGGACCTTTATTTGAGAAATTGGAAATTTTGATGTTCTTGAGTGATTTCATGAATTTGAGGTTTAATTCCTAGTTGTTGATGTTATTTTGATGATTTGA